CTGCATTAAAACTTCCGCTGCTGACAAAGAGCAGCCGGAGGTTCTCAGGCCTGGAGAGTTGAGGGACCCAGGTGCTAGATGACCATTACAGCCCAGCCTGAATTAGACCACACTGCTCAGAGCCCTTGGTAACCAACACAGACAGCTCTGAAATTACTGACCAACAGGAAGAGTTCTTCATATAATTCTAATCAGAATGCATTTCTTCATAAAACCGAAAGGATTAAATAAAACTAGACTAAAATAAAGGAGAGATTTCACAAAATCATTCTTCTTACTTCCTTATTGCAGATTACACATCCCACAGCTGAGACAACTTTCACCCAATTCTGAAAAAAAACAACAGCTAGCTCTGCAAAATTCAACAATTTTCATCAACCCTTTGTTTTTTTGTATAAACAGAAATGACCTGTGCATTTGTATTGGAAGTTTAATCACTATATATCACGGATTAAAGAGGCATGATCATTACTGACGAGCCCGACATCTTTTATTCAGGGTGGAACATCTGTTATGTGGGTGCTGCCTTTTCCAAGCTCACTGTATGTGCCCAACAAATATCCAGATCCTCAGCTGTAAAATTATCTGGCCTCAAACTCGTAGTTTTGTTCAAGTAAAATTCTGTTTTAACATAAAACACTGCTTCAAAGGCTGCTTTCCTTCAAAACCCTATTCCTATTGCCCAGTATGAGACTAGAAAGCAATCTATGATAGCAGCTGAGCACAAACTGTGCTTGTCTGAATCATTTACTTGAACCATTTGACTCGGAACAAGTGGCTCCGGTTAATGAATAAAACATGAACTACATTTAAACACGTCACTCCACTCTGTGCCAGGTGTTCCTTGACATACAGTAATTACCTTTATTATATTTTATCTTTTGGTTTTACATGTACACATCTACCCAATGAATTCCACTGACAAATGTCTAAGGCTTTTTTAAGGCTTCTCAATGACAATCTGGGTGTAGACCTTCACCATACTGCACAGCGAAGATTTCCTTCTGGAAAAATGTCAACCGATGCTACCTTTGCTGCACCAGAAAGGACAAGAGAAGTAACTCATTAACAAGAAATGTATAATCACTTAACATGTGGTGAAGTAAAAAGGAAAAAACGTTAGTCAACATTCAAACGGTTGTTTTAAAGCCACCTATCTGGAACATCCGATGCTTCCTTTCGTCCCGGCGCACAGTGGAGCTCCCCTGGCAGGAGGAAGTGAGGACAGGATCCATCGAGCTGTCCATCCTTCCACACCGACTGCAGGACAGGTGTGACCCTCACTGACAGCACAAGACCTGCATCTCCCCAGTCAGCCACAAGGGGTCACTGTTCCACAGCAAGCAGAGCCTGACCCCCCCTGCCAGTGGAGAATCCTGCTCTTCTCGAACCCATGACACCGGGATCACAGAGCTCCATCTGCACTTGAACACCTTTATGGACTGGGTCACTCTACCACTCAAGAGCCCAAGTTGGCTCTTTTTTTTTTATAAGCAAAGTATTTATTTTGAATAACATAACCAAAAAGAACACTTGACAATAATACATTTATTTAAAGCACTAAAGCACAGAAAGGCAGACTTTCGCAGTTAGTGAAGAGCTCAGTAAAAAAAAAATGGAAAAGTCTCATTGGCACACATACATCGGAAGCCCTGAATGGAATTCTGGAAGTTATTCTGGTCTGCGATATTTATTATTGCAGCTCTCTGCCAGAGAACCCACAGTCTTCGGCGCTGGCTGCTGCAACATCGCTAAGACATGGAAGAATGGAAGACATTTAAAATTGCTTCATATAAAGTTAAATGCATATAAATATGAAATCACAGCTGTGAGTAGGCCCCCCTGTCCCGCGCAGAAGCTCAGTTCAACAGCTCCAGGTAGGTAATAGGCACTTTGCCCTTCTGGTTCCCTCTCTCGCCCATGAGCCAGTCCGAGTCCATTCCCGGGACGCTGGACACCGTGATGACCTGAAAGACACGGCCAGCCCGAGCCCGTCAGTCACTGTCGGCTCACGGGATCGGACTCCCTGCCCTGCAAACAAGCAGACTGCACACAGCCCAGCCTGGCGCTGGCATCGCCCGGCTCCTCTTGGATTTGAAACCAACAGGAAATATTTAAACATCTTTAATATAAAATAATGCTAACTGTAGCGATCTGTCTCGATAGTTGTAATTCACTGTCCTATATTTCCTGGTTATAATTGCCGATATTTATTTATCTTATGTAGTTTATCTTTGCTTGACTCTGTCTTGCATTTTAATCTTCAAATCATTTTTTTTTTTACCAGTGGCACAGGAGCCTAGTGCTGAAAGAAATATGAGATGGAAATTAAATAAACCTGCTATTCAAAAACTACTGAAGCGTAAAATGCAATTATAAGATATGGACCTGTGTAAATTTCCATTCCAAGTGCGAGGTTTCATTTTCAACTATAAGTAACTAAAAGCCAGACATCGGACCGCGAGATGCAGTTCCCAATGCCCAGTTTGTGCGGCTCGATCATGGCCCTTTACCAGCAGCGCCCTGACCGGCGCGACCCACCTCGTCAGCCAGCAGGGACAGCTCGCTGCTGCCCGCGGCGTCGTAGTCGTACAGCACGCGCGCCCTCCTGCTGCCGCTGCAGGCCTGCAGCTCCATGAAGCCCGAGGAGCCGAGCGGGCCGGCCGGCGCCAGGCCCGGCGCCGGCAGGGAGACGGGGAGTGTGGGCACGGAGACGCCGAGCGCCGAGCCGGAGGAGGACTGGTTGTTGTTGGAGGAAAACGTGGATGGAAAGCTGCGGGGACACAAGAGCACAAAGGAGACTCGACAAGCGCGTACAGCTCTGCTCAGAGCATCCACGAAGGCACAGCCGATTGTACTTTTATACCTCAGCAGGTTTGTGAGTGGTTTCTCCCCTCGAATCTTCAACTGCCTGTTTACCCTTAAGCAGCAGTTAATGCGTTTATGATATGCGCTAATTACAAGAAAAATATTCAATGCTCCCCAAGTATTTCTACTTTAAATCCAATCGATACAATTTTAAATGCCCACCTGTGATTTGAAAACTGAACGGGATTATTTTATTCTGAAGCAGTATTTGTCAGCTCACCTTAGCTACCCTCAAAAGCAAAAAGATAAAACAGTAAAGAAACTGGAGGCTAACTGTGTTAAGCAGTGGAATGACGTGACGTGCAACCAAACAAGTCTGGGGGTGAGCAATCAATGCCGTTTGTCAGCACCATGTCCGAAACACTCCATGAAGTCCCTAACCCTGTTTCTCAAACGTACAGAATTTTGTGATTTTAATTAAATTGGATCAGCTCAAAATGTGGTTAATGGGGTGTCACGCAACCAAATCTAAATGCCAGAACCTGGAAATCAGGGACAAAGATGGATTGCGAAGATCTATATTACACAACCTAGCATGATGATGTTGAGCTGCGGACAGACACGCCAGCAGGGGGAACTGCAGGTCCCCAAGGGATTTTCAGTGTTAAAACTCGAGTCTCAGAACTGCAGGCCACAGTGCTGGCGCTGCGGGAATCAGCTCAGCACAGGAAGCCAAGAGTTTCCTCAGCAGGCAGAGGCGAAGGGCCAGGAGCCCAGGAATCACACTGCTGCCAGGAGCAGCAGGGCCTGCTGTCTTGCACATGACGATGTTCTTAAGCCATTCGCGGGCAGAGTGTTTTAACACAATTCACCAACGTTAACAGGCACACAAAATCATGCAACTCCTCATTAATCAACTTTAATGCCGATTCTACGTCTATGCAAACTGAATGGCACTAAAGCCAACTATACCATTTTAGTCATTTAAACATTAGGCTAATAAAGCAGTCTTCCATACAGTACAACACAGGGCTAATAAAATGGTCTTTCACCCAGTTAACTGCAGTGCTCCCCCCAAGAAACCCAAATGTTCAACTGTTAAAATGAGAGAAAGATCAAATCAATATTAATAAATATTTCTATCTATAGGGAAAGAACAGAAAATTATAAAAATATAACTGAATTGCTGATAATGGGCTGTATCCTAAGATGCATTATAACAGCTGACTTTATTTGAAGGCTGCAACAGGTTTCTTTATCGTCTCTGAGAAGCTATAGCATGACCCCTCATAAACAGTCTTTCCTGACGTGTCTAAAGACTGAATAACAAAGCATTAAATGAAATGCTTATAAATACATAACATGACAAGTGTAGCTCATTTTTCAGCTTAAAGCACCACAAGGGCTATTAAGTGGTTTTGCTAATAATTACTGCAGATAAATTAACCACTTGATTTGGTGTCCCTGAGCTAAAGGTACACCAAATGAAACTGCTGGTTCTTGAAAGTTAAACTGAAATCCTGCCTCATTATTTATTCTAGTTACCACAAATCCATATTCCTTCCTTGTTAGTTTGCTTTAATTGCAATGGCTGAACTAAAACCCGTACTAAAAGACGAGCACCGTACCTCCCGAGCTGCTTCTGCAGGTCCACCATGTACTGGTAGCACTGTGCGTAGTAGGTGGTCTGCGCTTCGACGAGGTCATTCAGGCAGCGGAGGTGGTGCGCCTGCAGCAGCAAACAGGACCAGTGAGGGAAGGAGCACCACTCGAGCCACCGAGACCACAAGCGGGCGGCTGGACAAGCACACGAGGGGAGACCCTGCCCCCCGCTAAACCAGCGTTATAGCAGACTAGCAAATTAGCCAATGCAATTGTTTTCCAGTACATGTTCTCAGAAGAACTGGCCTTATAGGGTGTACAGGGGTGTATACATGTTCGAAAAGACCCTCCAAGCCTCTGTGGCAAACGAGTCAGCAGAACTGAACTAACCCCAGAGAGAAGGATGAGGGCCTGAAGACGTTCTAAAGGAACAGCCCTTTGCTGCACTCCACTGTACAGGAGTTTCAGCTGCTGTCCCATGGTCACACGGGTGCTGCCCTTCCTGTCACCAGAGAGACATGTGGATCTGTGACCCAGCAGCTCTCAAGCTGCCTTACTGGCTGGGACAGCAGTCTCATGCAGAACTACGGCCTAAGGGCAGCTGCTCCAGAAATCTTGCTACTCTCAAGCGCGTCTTTGACGATGGGAGATGTGCTCGAGGGCATGTTCCTGGGATCAGGACGGGCCCTGCGACGTACGTGGGTGCTGCTGATGCCCTCCAGCAGGAGCCTGGTGATCTCAGCCTGGCGGTCAAACTCGCTCTGCGTTATCCTGAGCTCCTGCTCCGCCTGTCAGACAGAGAGACACAGTCACACCGGCCGCCTCCAACCACACCAGAAAGCTCTCCTCGCACAAGGGCTTCCAGGGCTACAGCATTAAAAATCAGCCACACTCACGGGTTTGTCACACTCAACAAGACCCCTTTCTGTATCCCCATGCATCTCACTGCCTGGTTTTCAATACTGGAACTGAGCATAAAACGGCACAAAGTGAAAAGGCCTAACTGAAGTACCAGCAACATTTCTACAGGGTACTGTTCAAAGGAATCACAAGGCCCATGTGATAAGAGATACAGCAAACAAGCAACGAAACAGAAACAGAAACAAATAAGCAAAAGGATCAATCAAAAAACGAAAGCTGCAGCGATGAGCTGCCAGCTGTTCCAGCGGTTGCTTGGCACTGCGAGAGAGGTGCTGCAGGACACTCATCCCAACAGCCGTGCTCAAGGAAAAGGTCAGAAGAAGCACACATTAAATGCTGCAGAAAAACCAAAAAAACACCCCTGACTGGCAAAGCATCAACTTACCTTTGTCACTTCCTCCACCCACAGCTGGTAAGCATTTAAAACAATGACAAGGTATTTAGGGTAAAACACAGGTGAAGATATGCAACACTAAGTGATTTTTATCCCCCTTTACAAAGCACCCAGAATAGAAACTGTCCATCAGTACAGCACAGCTAAACAGGACTACAGGAAAAGCCTACAGACGGAACAAGCACCTCACAGAAACAAACACACTCCAGCACTGAATGCAAAGGGCTGCCGGTCCACAAAGTGACCATGCAATTTTTGGGTGGATTTAAAGAAAGACAGCAGCTCTGCCCTTTACAGCAGTGATCCTCTCCCGGTGGGCAGCTCACCAGGGGGCCTGCAGCAATTAAAGATAAAGGACTCATTGCACTGAAACTATATTTCGGCCCTTTGGTGATTTGCGCTAACGAAATCAACAAGTTTCTGGGTTTCAAAAATAGTATTTTAACAAACTATCAAGTTAAACCCTATTTTAGAATGCAAAAGCACTGATAAAGGTGACCGTTGTGACACATACTTAAACAGCCCTTGAGTTGAAAAGGTCAGGAAGCTAGGTGACATGTGAACCTTAGATTAACCACCTGTTCATGCAGATCTAAAAGTGATAAGGCTGGAAGACACTCTCAGGCTGGATTCACTGGAAGGGTAAAATAAAATCATAAAATAAAAGTTCCCCACTTTCCCTGTGGGCACACTGGGTAAACTGCCCACTGCACTGGAAATGAATGAGATGTGGCAAAATGAAACATGGTTCACCCACCAGGGAAAAATAAAAGCCCGAAGTGACCTCAATGCGCTCAACCCAAACAATCTGCACTACGGGGTTGCTCACTGCAGAGAGTTTAGAACATTTCTCAGACCTTTGGCAACTTAAACTGAAAATTAGGAACCCAGCATCTGAGCAAATGATGACATTTTGAAGTGTACCCATGTATTTAGCAATTTAAAATAGCATTTCGGGGGAACCAAATCATTTGGCTACTCATCTTCTGTCATATAATGGAAAGGAACTGAGTAAATGTGATGTTTTATGATACCATGAAATGCAGCTTGGTATCCAGGTTGCAGATTTCATGTACAGACAACCAGGATGGTTGAAATGGAAAAAACATTCCGGTACCATCTGGAGGACGAACCGCATTCGGAGAAACACTCCTACAAACCCCCCCATGCTTCTCGGATCTCACTTCATTCCCACAACGTTCAAACATCTACACATCAAACACAGAAACGTCACCATGCCTTCTCTCACAGTCATTATGAAAAGACTAGTGATTATCTGAGCAGAACTAATCTTAATAACATATTTTAATTCAAATTTTAAATTACTGACATAATTAAGCGATTAAAATGCCTTTATTTTGGCAAACTGCCTAAAGGTGGAAAGACAGAGTGTAATCTACAGAGCCCCATCCAGACACCGGCTGACAGAGAGACACTCAGGACTTGGGTAAAAATAAGACCCACAGCGGGCCCAGTTGTTTTTATGTGCTTGCAGTGAAGGTTATGGAATCTGATCAATCGTGCCCGGCTGGTAATTGCCCAGTGACCGGGGAATCATGGAAACACTCTGTTTTTCCCAAATTACTGAGCCCTTGGCAACTGCAAGAGAAAGCATGTCATCTGAAGGGTAAAGAGTCTCTGAACGAAGCCAACAAACCTTTAGCCACCTGACATGCAGGAAGTTGAGCATGTAAGAGAAATTTACCATTGGGTTATCGCCCACCGGAGAGGAAGAGTTTAGTTGCTAAAGCACATCGAAGCACATGAAGATGACAAGAAAACAAGAAAGATTTTTAATTCTGCAGCCACACAAGCAAGATCTTTGAAGGCGTTTTAAATAAAATCAAGCAAATCTTCAGCATTTCACACAACATACAGGCCTGACACCTGCATTTGGTTTAATTTAAGAAAAGGAGTTGAAGATAATTCTTGTTATGTTAGGAGTATGCAATGAATGCCAACTTCTCTTAATGCTTCACGTGTTTTACTATATGATTAAGACCCTGGAATGCAAACCGACTGAAATTAAGTAAATTATATGAACTTCTCTGGCACTTGCATCCCATGGTGTGTAATACGCTCACTTGCACAAGCTGCATTTTTGCACTTTCACAGACAACCAACTGCAACCAACTGACCTCAAAAAATTCTGGGAACCACAGAAGCCCATCCCACTGTAACCACATGCTATGTTAATTATAATATGGAAAAATGAAGAAAGAAATTAGGAATTTGCTGTACAACTGAAAAATCTCTGAGCACGTCTCAGCAGTACAGGAAAGATGTCAGCCACTTGGATAGCTGCTGGTCCTGGAGATTTATTTTAAAATAGACCAACAACTGTTTGTCCAATGATTCAATACTCCTCCCACCAGGGTGTAACAACTCCAGCGTGTGAAATACAGGCTCGTGGACTCCGGGCTCACGAAACAAGGACGCTTACTGCTGCCCTGGCCTCTGCCGCCCGCGCCTTCTTCAGCCTCGCCTTCGCTGCGTCCAGGTCCAGGCGCTTGTTCTGCAGCAACTTCCGCTCCTTCTGGGGGAAAAGGACGGATACAATTCACGGCCAGAGCCGGCGCAGGACTCCACCTTGACAGACCTCCCCAAAGCAAAGCCCTCCTGTCACGGCCCAAGACCTGACGTCCACCCTGCCATCCCCCAACAGAAGTGGAGCCCATCGGGGTCTCGCGAGGATCGAGAGTGCACAAGCCCTGGGTGTGATAGCGGGTCACCGCAGGGTCACTTCCTGCAGCGCTGGCCCTGGGGAGCTGGCCAGCTGGGCTAGTCGGGGTGAAGATCCTGCTCAAGGGTACAGTACCTGTGGAGGGGGATCAGACCCACAGCCTCCCTGTGGTTGGCATCTCAAGGCCTGAGCGACTACTGTAGCACCGACCTCAGTTACCCCACATCCCACAATCAGCCACAGACCAGGTTTTGCTCAAACTCGATCAACGTTACGTAGGCTACTATGACGAAGTAGCTAAGATCACGCGCAAACCCAATCCACACTTTATACACACCACCACCCACCAGCCTCTGACTGTAGCCGAACAGGTGCGACTTCCAGCAGGCTTCCAAATTTACCCAGCATGCAACGAAACAGGTCGAAAAATACTGCAACTGAGAGTACAGTTGGGACAAACAGCCAACCATGGAGATACCCATAAATGAGCAAACGGTAGATTCAGTACAGCACAAAAACTGTGGTGCTTTCCTATCAAAAGTTTTGTGAATCACAGCAGTGTTCTGGACTAATAAGCCAGCAGCATTATGATTCTGGTCACATTTGACCAAAGGATATCTGATGTGAAAATTACATTCTGTGCCACAAAAGAAGTCAGGAGCCATAAAAAGCCATATAAGAAATTAAACAAATATAATCGACTGTAAACCCAGTGGTCTCAAGCAGAAATCCCCTAAAAAAAGGATGCAGTAAAAATACAGTCTAGTATGAAACTATGATGATTGTAAAAGTACGTTCTCTTTTTTTATATGCTGCATAATAGACAATTTATAGTTGGCCTTTAGTGTGCACACATTTTGTATTTATATTGGAAAACTAGATTACAGTTTGCTTTCAATACCATTATCTGCACATTTCAATCTAATTTTTGAAACTGCATGTTACTATAATTAGGCTAACATATTTAAATTACCTATAATAGATGCATTTTGTCTCTTCTTACATGTGGAGGGACTTCTCTAAAAATGCTAAAAGTCCCTCTAATGTGATGACAAGATGCATCTTACTTTTTAATATGAGTCGGTAAACATGAATTAGAAAAAAAACTGTTGGTCTGGCTGTCGTCACATTAGAGGGACTTTCAGCATTTTTAGAGAAGTTCCTACACACTAAGATGAGACAAAATGTCTGCCTGCAGCACAGACTGGAAGCATATCCTCAACTTACTGAAATGGTTTTGAAATCCCCCTCCAGGAAATTTCTGAATGGGGTAAGAAAGTTAATGGCCGAGCTCTGTATGAACTCCCTCTCCGCACTGCCAATCTGCTTCTGGGTCTCTCCACACTTGATAAGAGCATTTCCTGCAGTAAAAAGAAAAGGAAGATGTTTTTCTATTTTTCTCCCACTGGATCTTCATCCCTGACACTAGAGGGAATGAAGAGATTGTTTTCCTTAGCGTACGGAATCTGTCAGCGTAATGCAATTTCCTTGTACGCAAAAACACCCAGCATAGCTGCTGCAGAGACTTAATTACAGCGGTTAGTTGCAACCACAGCGAAGGTTACAAAGTGGCTTCATGCACAACAAATCACAGAACATGTTCACAGAGCAAAGCAGTTTAAAGCTACTGCAAGTGTATATATAAAGGCCCTCTAATGTGATGACAAGATGCATCT